GACCCCTGGCATGGAGTGCCCCCTTATTCTGGGCATGGCATGGCTAACCAAGTGGAACCTGCAGGTGGACTGGAGGACAGGAAAACTCAAATTCCCAGACACAAATGCAGCAAGAACCCCGACTCAGCCCCGAAACAGGGGAAGCCCCTCCAAAAGAGCAGTGGTGTGGGGAGAAAAGGAGTTACAAGACATCCCAGAAGAATACATGGACTTAGCTGAAGTATTCAGTGAGGAGAAATCTGATGAACTGTCCCCCCCACTGGCCCACAGACAGCTCTATCAAAAGCCTCCCAGCGGCAAAGTTACCCAAGCCAAAACTGTATTCTATGAGCCCACAGGAGCTAGAGGAAATGCAGAAATTCATAGACAAAAACCTGGAAAGGGGTTTTATCCAACTGGCAAAGCCAAAGACCACAGCCTCCATATTATTTTGAGAAAAGAAGGATGGGACTCTTCACCTCTGTGTGGATATAGATCTCTGAACGCAGTGAGTGAGAGCAACCTATACCCCCTCCCTCTCATGAAAGAATGCTAGCCCACCTGTCAAAAGGAAAAATCTTTTTGAAACTGGACTTAAGGGAGGCATATTACAGGATTAGGATTAAAGAGGGAGACGAATGGAAGACAGCTTTCAATTGCCCCTTAGGATGCTACCAATTCAGGGTTTTGCCTTTCGGCCTTCAAGGGGCACCTGCAGTATTCATGCAATTAATAAATGATGTGCTCTGGGAGCATCTGTTTAAAGGGGTGCTTGTTTACCTGGACGATATCCTGATATTCACTGAAACAATGGAAGAACATATGAAGTTTGTCAGAGCTGTACTGAAAAAACTCCAGGCAGCTCACTTGTATGCCAAACTATCTAAATGTGAGTTCCACAAGGAAAAAATTGACTATCTGGGGTATTGTATCTTGCCAAATGGCATAGAAATGGACCCTGGGAAAGTCCAAGCGATACTAGAATGAGCTCCGCCCCACAATTGCAAAGCTTCCTTGGATTTGCTAATTTTTACTGGCAATTCATCCCCTCCTTTGCACAGATCGTACTGCCAATTACTAACTTGCTTAAGACCAAGGGGGAGGGAAAGCTGAAATCAAGCCAGCCATTAAAATGGACGGTAGAATGTCAAACCGCATTTGAAAGGTTAAAAAAACTATTTTCCTCAGAGCCAGTTTTAAGGCACCCTGACACTGAGAAACCTTTCATAATCCAGGCCGATACTAGCAACGTGGCTGTGAGGGCAGTACTATTACAGGAAAATGATGAAGGGAATTTGCAGCCTGGCGCATAAACATCAAGGAAACTCATGGAAACAGAGCAAAGGAGGGCAGTTTGGGAGAAGGAAGCGTATGTGGTACGATGGGCTCTCCTTACCTGGCGGCATTTCCTGGAGGGGAACAAAATTCCTTTCCAGGTGTGGACTGACCACAAGAACCTGGAATCATTAAAAACACCCAGGAAACTAACCCTATAAACAAGTGAGATGGTTGCAGCATTTCCACCAGTTTAACTTCACTTTAAAGCATTTGCCGGGAGGAAAGAATTTCTTAGTGGATGCATTGTCCAGACTGCCCAATACAATAGCAACAGAATAGAGATAACAGACCCACTTATGCCATCAAAGCAATTAGCAGCTCAAGCCACCAACCAAGCACAAGCCAAACACCAGAAGCCTCTAGCGAGCCAAGCAGGGATTGAATTAAAAAAACCACTAGAAGCCGACAAATGGTTTCTAAGCCACAAGAACCTATGCACAATGATTGATAGCTTACCATGGGTGGGAGGGAAGCTATACGTACCCAAAAACCAGAGACTGACATTCATGCAACTATGCCACGACTCTAAATCAGCTGGACATTTCAGATTCATAAAAACTTTATACCTGGTGAAAAGGCAGTTTTGGTGGCCATCAATAAAAAAGGACATTGAAAGTTACGTGGCCAGTTGTCCAATCTATGCTGCCACTAAGATAATAAGAAAAGACCCCAGGCTTATTGCAACCAGTAGCAACCCCATCAGCGCCTTGGAGGTAAATTTCTATGGATTTTATTGTGGAGTTACCGGAAAGTGGGGGGAACACAGTCATTTGGGTCGTAACAGACTTGTTCTCTAAACAAGTACATTTTATCCCATGCCAAAAAATTCCCAGTGCAAAGACACTTGCAAAGCTATTCGTCCAACATATCTATCGACTTCATGGAGCCCCACAACAAATCATATCAGATAGAGGAGTACAGTTCACATCAGAGTTTTTGAGAACATTCCTAGGACTGTTGGGGACAATCCAGGGGTTGTCGTCTAGTCATCATCTGCAGACGAATGGTGAGACTGAACGGTTGAACTCAGTATTGGAGAAGTACTTAATTGCCTGAGCAGGGGGTTGGACTAGATGACCTCCAAGGTCCCTTCCAACTTTATTATTATTATTATTATTATTATTATTATTATTATTATTATTATTATTATTATTATTATTATTATTATTATTATTATTATTATTACCAACAAGACAGCTGGATCAACCTGCTCCCGTTCGCAGAAGTCACTTATAACAATGCAATACATTCCAGCATGGGCTACATTCCAGCACAATTGCAAAATACCTGGCCAGTTGTGAGGAGGGCATTAGACAAAGCTAGGGAAGCATATAAAACCCAAGCAGTTAAAAAACAGCGAACCCAAACCATTTACAGTAGGGGAGAAAGTTTATCTGTCAATAAAATACCTAAAATCCCTACAACCCTCAAAAAAGCTAAGACCAAAATTTGTGGGACCTTTTCCCATTAAAAGAACAATTAATCCTGTCACAGTGGAATTAGAACTCCCAAAGACACTCAGACAAGTTCACCCAATTTTCCACTGCAGTCTTTTAAAACGTGAACTGCAGTTGCCCTTAAGACCAGCTGCAGCTCCTCCTCCTCCTTCAATTATGGTAGAAGGTGAACAACATTTTGAAATTAAAGAAATCCTAGACTCCATAAAACATCATGGTTCCACCCAATATCTGGTAGTATGGAAACACCTGCCACCTTCCCAGAACAAGTGGATCCAGAAACATCATATTAGGACCCACCGACTCCTTAGAAATTTCATGCTGCATACCCGGATAAACAGGACTAATCCTTGTCTCCCTTTTTCTGTTTTGTTTTCTACAGGTGGAACACTCTTTCTTTTAAGGGGGGACAGGATGTCAGAACCCATTCTTTTTCCTGGGAGGGGGAAATCTATTTCATCTCTTTATTCTAGCTTACAGAGGGTTCTGCCATTCTCCTGAGGGGGAGGGGAGAAGGCTCTATGGTATATTTCTCTGCTTTGCTACAATGTACCCTTTCCGCTAATTCTGCAAACTTAGTCTTTGAACTGTCTCTCCCTTGATGTTACTTTGGGGGGAGAAAGGAATGTGCCTCCAGCCATCTGGCTTATCTCTTGCTGCAGAAGGGAAGGTGTGAAGACCCAACAATATCATCACAGGCATGGGAACGGACCCTGTTATCAGCTCCTTTCCCACTTAACACCTGAGGATTGGCCCATTCAAACTGACCAGATGAACTATTGGAGTGGGGTTTACTTGGGACTCTTTTAACCTATTGATCTGAGCGGGAAACCCTCATATCCTGCCTATTATGCCTGCTATCAGCTTCTCTTAATAAAAGTTCCTTTTGGAAAGAAACTGTTCCAAGAGTCCTGCTTTCTTAGGATGCGGTTTTGAAGTGGGCCCTGACATCGCCCTGACAGGTGATCCTAGTACCCATTGGTTGAACACTATAAAGGATGACACCAGGATGACCATAGTGTATCTGAAAGAGATGGTGCGAGACAGAGGGGCTTGGAAAGTGCTGATCCAAAGATTGGCCATGGGTCAGACATTACTGAGTGGCTGATGACAAAATGAATGAGGTCTAGTAGTAGTTTGTGTAGCCAAACTAATTCAAAGAAGATCAAACAAAGTTGAAATTCTGTATAGAAAAGTGTCATATCCAATATACCATAAAAGATATTTTCTATATATAGCAACCAGGCTATGCAGGCAGTGGTTTTCCTTATGACATTCTATGGAAGCAAAAGTTGAAGAAGCAGGAAAGGAAGACTATTGATGCTTTTGAACTTTAGTTTGGTGTTGAAGAAGACTCCTGAGAATACCATAGACAGCCAAAAAAGCAAAGAAGTGGATTATAAAACCAATCCAAAATTCTCACTCGAGGCACAAACACCTAGGCTCAAATTATCAAATTTTGCAAATATTATGTGAAAAACAAGGAAGGAAAGAAAAGAGGATGTCCAACAGCCAGGTGGATAGGCTTGATTATACGGCAAATGGTATACCATTAGAACACTCAAAGGGCCTGGTTGGGGACAGATCATCCTGAAGAAAATCTGTCAATGTAGTCACTAAGAATGAAAAGCAATTTGATGGCACATAATCAAGTAATCAAATCCTGCAGGTGGGAAGAAAACATGATGAAGCAAATTTATCCTAAAATGCTAGAGATTTTTCAACAATAATGTATATCTGTCAGAATTATATATATTTAACTCACAAACTTCTATACAAAATCTTTGACTTATGCATATAAGACTTTCCTAGGAACATGTGCTCCTAGATCAAACATCCAAGTCAAATATTTTAACTTGGTGAAATGTAGTTGTAGAGAACTTCCTGTAACTTAAGAATTGGCACATATTCTGCAATTTATGAGGCAATAAAATATACAACATTATATATATATTATTCAGAACATGGTACTTAAGCTTTGTCTGCCCTTAGAGAGAAACAAATTCATATTCTTTCCCATTGTCCCAAAGTCTTAAAGGTCTCAGTTACTCACTGTGGCAAGACTTGAGAGTTGTAATCTGATTGATACATTGATACAAGGCATAGAAAACTAGAGCAATATAGAAATGGCTCAGACAGCAAGATGGATGCTAGGAATTCTTTATGAAGTGGTATCTTCAGAAATGAAGTATGTCTTTAGAAAGGTAACTCTTTCCTTCTCTGTAGGAATCACCACTGTGCTGACAATGACCACCATTAGCACTCACCTCAGGGAAACTCTTCCCAAAATCCCATATGTGAAGGCAATTGACATCTACCTTATGGGCTGCTTTGTGTTTGTGTTCCTTGCTTTACTGGAATATGCATTTGTCAACTACACATTCTTTGGTAAAGGCCCTCAATATCAGAAGAAAGAGGCAGAAAAAGCCACCAATGAGAGGAAGAAAATGGAGATGAATAAAGTTCAGGTAACCAATTTTCTGAAAGTTGATATAGTTTCCTATTTATCTGGACAAGCATGGTTGAAGCAGAAGATCATAACACTCCTAACAAGATAATTTGTTAGTGAATACATATTAAAAATGTAAATATGCTTTATAAAGTGGCCTAATCCTCTTGGTTGGAAAATAATTTTTGGAAAAACAATTTTTGATTTAGAGAATATGAAAGGATTCAGAATATTCAATAGTTCATCATGTCAGTAATTAGTATATGATATTCAATAGTCAGTGATTTTAATACCAGTATTTATTGTTTAAATATTTCTCTCAAAATTAGCCTACAAATATATTTGTGCATTCCATACATCCATAAATATATGTGTAAAGCAAAAACTTTAAAATTAGTTTGGAAAATCTATTGATCAACTTACACTGATTATCTGTTTTTATTGTATTATGGACCTTGTTGTGAGAGTTTACTTTTTGAGAGATACAAGAAATATCAGAGTAAAGTAAGTGAAGAATCCAAGAAGATGCATGCACTTCAATGGTGAAAAAAGTAAGGTACTGCACATAGACAGGAAAAATCAAATGCACAGGTATAAAATAGACAGTACCTGGCTCAACAATAGTAACTGTGAGAGCGATGTAGGGGGTTCTAGTGGACAATAGCCAGCACTGTGCTACAGCTGCCAAAAAAACCAATGTGGTCCTGGGATAGGATAGGATAGGATGGGATGGGATGGGATGGGATGGGATGGGATGGGATGGAATAGAATAGAATAGAATAGAATAGAATAGAATAGAATAGAATAGAATAGAATAGAGCTGGAAGGGACCTTGGAGGTTTTCTAGTCCAGCCCCCTGCTCAAGCAGGAGAACCTATACCATCTCAGTCAAGTGACTGTCCAGTCTCTTCTTTAAAATCTCCAGTGATGGAGGACCCATGATTTCTGGAGGCAAGTTGTTCCACTGGTTATTTGTCCTCACTGTTAGGAACTTAATTCCAGGTTGGTTCTCTCTTTGATCAGTTTCCAACCATTGTTTCTTGTCCTGCCCTCTGGTGCTTTGGAGAATAATTTGACCCTCTCTTCTTTGTGGCAGCCTCTCAAATACTGGAATACTGCTATTATGTCACCCCTATTTCTTCTTTTCTTTAGACTAACCAAACCCAAGTCCTGCAGCCATTCTTCATATGTTTTAGTCTCCAGGCCTTTGGTCAGTTTAGTTGCTCTTCTCTGAATTTTTTCCAAGGTCTCAACATCTTTTTTGTAGTATGGTGACCAAAATTGGTTGCAGTATTCCAGGTGTGGTCTCACTAGGGTTTTATAAAGTGGTACTAATACTTCGCATGATCTTGATTCTATACCTCTGTTTATACAACCCAGGTCTGTATTAGCTTTTTTGGCTGCACATTGCTGGCTCATATTCAAGTGATCGTCCACTAGTACTCCAAGGTCCCTCTCACAGTTACTGTTTTTGAAGACCTACTGGAAGACCTTCAAGATCCCTTCCAAACCAGTTTTCTGTGTTCTGTGTTCTATGTGCATCCACATAAATAATAATACAAATGAAATGTGTAGGTGATAGGAATGTGATCTTGGAAGCACTTTTCAGTTATCCATAAATACCTTTCAATAATCCTTACCTGTTTTTGTCTCTCTTCATCCTTCTTTTTTCTTTCCTAATTAATTTAAAGTACCTGCTGTTTGAGTACGGAAAATAGCTCTGAGGTTGGCTCTGTGGGTTCCAAGGACAGAAGCAATAACTGACCCAAATCCTCCATAGAATAGAACTTCTTAGATTTTATTTTCACATGATATGTCTTGACTGATTGGCCTAAATAGGAAGATGATTGCTCTTCAAAGAACAGAAGCCATCCTTTGGGGTCATTCGGGTCACTAGAATAATAATTATCATTTAGTATTTAGCAAATATGTCCTCATTTTAGGACATTTTGCATTGTTGATTGGTAATGCAGAAGCCCAGATTGCCTTGTCAATTAACTCTTATTGACATGGAATTGAGGAAGTGTAGATTAGGACAAGGACTAGAGTAAGCCAAGACACAAATGATCGCTCCCTCCTTCTGTTAGAAGAAATGAGTTCATTTGTAGATCATCACTACAAGCTCTGAATAGCCCAATGATTTACACAATCAGGTGGTTTGAAATGATTTAAAAACACATTTGAAAATGGAGTACTCTTGTTTGTAATGCTTTAATTTAAAGCAGTAATTCACCCACTCTTGCCTTGTAATAAGCTGTGGGGCATACAAGTCCTTTAAGTGAAGGGGCTCTATGAATCACCAATTTAAGCCATTAGTGCTCATGGTTATTTGCCTTTACAACAGAGAAAAGAAACAATATTAATGATCTTTATGTTGTCGATGCAGGTGACTGTATAACAACATTTGGAAGTATTTAATTTCTTTGAATACTTGGTAATTGATACTTTGTTGATTTGTTTGTTTACAATTCTAATTTTAAGGCTGCTTCAGGCCAGTTCTGAACAATATATGATCTTAATTAATGTAATATATAGAAAACAATAGAAATCCAGAAAGAGTCTCATATACAGTAATAGAGGGAAATATATAATACCGCCAAAACCAACAGTATAATCAAATAGACACACTGCTAAGCTATCCCAGAGCTTGGTGAAAAAGCTATTTCTCCATTCAGGAAATTCCTACTTAACTGATTTCTCTGCCATAGGTTTACTGAAAAACATTTGATGAAACATTTCAGGACACAAAGTCTGGTCTTGTGGGTCATTGCCAGAGGCAGCTGTGGGAACCATTGCATTTGTCAAATTGACATAGTACGGCAGAACACGAGGTTTGTCTCAGTGGTCTGCCATAAAGCATGAACAAAAGAAGGGAAGCTTACATGGTATCAGGGTGGCACTCTCTTGTCATTTGCTACCCCACGCCCCCATCCCAGCCACCTTGTAGATGCCACTAAGTACATCCCAACCTTGCTGGGTGGCATCATTTTCCCATTTCAACAGAGAGCACTTATTCCTCAGTGACAATGTGTTGCGGGAAACTACCCCTAGTAAAACATATCACAGTCTGTCCCTGTTTCTCTTCTTGATTTTGCTCAAATAATAGCTTCTATTCTAGAAATCATCAGGGTAAAAAGCGCTATGTTAGTTTCTTAGATTTTAAGGGAATACTCATTTAGTGACTGCCTCATTGAGCAATCATTCACAGTTACAATGATGATAAAAAGTAACTTTACATCAGTTCTCACATTTACAACCTTTATAGATTGGTAAAGCAAAAGAAGGCTGAAATAAATTGTAAGCACTGCAGTTTCTCTTAGTGACTGTTTCGCCTAACTACTAAGATTCCAGTCACAACTGTGGTCATTAAATAAGTTTAACTTTCTGATGTACATCTCTTAATGCTGCAAAATTAGTGTAAAATAGACAATAAAGAATGTTGCCAATACCAGAAATGAAAGAATAAACTGAAATAAAATGACAAAATGTTTAGGAAAACAGACCAAGATTCTATTTCGGCAAATTCTCTCAATATTCCCTGAACAAGCTGACACAATCTAGAAAAAATCCAGACTTGGTGCTTCTTACAGTGTAGAACTTCAGATGTATTGTGCTGAGGCTAGTTTTGATTAATCTGAACTTCACTGAAAGCAACAAGACTATTCACAAATAAATAACATAGTTTTTAAAATGTTTTTTTAAAAGAATGGACTTTCCTATTCTTTTTTGGGGGGGTCATTGAATCTTGAGTGGTCCATTGTTTCAGGTAACCTGCAGAAATGTAAAGAGTACTAGTGATATAGAGACTGTCTCTAAAGTGTACCCCTCCTTTAGATTGACACTTGTGGGAATATCCTTCTTACTACCTTGGAAATGAGAAATAAAGTCAGCAGCTCCGATGTGCTTGAGAGTTTGAATGATCCGAGAGCCACCATGTATTCTTATGACAGTGCCAGCATCCATTACCGGAGACCACCTACTATGAAAGACCTCAACAGCAGAAGCACCTTGGGGAAACGTACCACCCACCAAAAGGGACGACTACGGAGAAGAGCATCACAGCTCAAAGTCAAAATCCCAGATTTGACTGATGTTAATTCCATAGACAAGTGGTCCAGAATGGTCTTTCCTATCACTTTTATTCTTTTTAATGTTGTCTATTGGCTTTATTATGTGCACTGAATTATGCTGTGATCCCTCCATCAAGTCATCCCAGACACCATTTCTTCCTTTGTTCACTTTCTGTCAACCTTAATGAAGATTCACAGTACAGAGTCCAGCTATTCAGTGGGCTAGAGTGTCCTTTTACTCATGTCCCCCAGTTTAAACCTTGTATACTCCAAAAAACAAAAGTATCTCTTTTAATATCTTATCGTTTTTTTAGATTTGCTTTCAAAGAGCAATTATGTTGAAGACACAAATGCTTTTCTCCTGTTTTGTTTAATACTATTTCTGGTAATCTTTCCTTTTTTTCTTAACATTTAAAATGTGAAATTAAATTATGTCTAATCTCACCCGCTCCAAAAATCAGTGTCTAATGGCATCACAATAGTGTTTGCCAAACAAAGTTAAAACATCTGTTTGCAAAGCAAGACCTATGATAGCTTCAATCATATGTACATTTACTGAGAAGGAGACCCAGCTGCACAACTCCTGACAAATTACACATTGGTTTTCTGTGCATGTCTTTTATTATGAATAAGCTACCAGAACAATATATAATTTTACAGTGTGAAAAAGTACACAGATAGACAGAGGTGTACAAATATTGATGACAGAAAGAGCTGCATTGTTAAATAATGTATTAATTTGTAATTTTCAAACATTTTTGTAAATTAAAATATGCTCCTGCTGAAACAGGCACATATATTTTTCAAACAATTAATGCTTTTAATACAGATCTTTTAATATTGGAGATGGTAAGAAATAGCTTAGAAAGAACATGGTTTTTCTCTCACACAATAAAAGTTCATCTCTTGAAAAGTGGTACTACTTTGATGAATTAATGGAATTTCTTTAACCAAAAATAATTATTTTCTTCAAAATTATTCCTTTATTCATATATACATTTATGCAGCTTTCATTAATATTTGACTACAATTCATACATTCAGTCAATAAGGATACCTTTATGCAGTGACAGTGCTAGAAAATATATATTCCAGTAGAAGTCTACAATAGTTGCAGAGCTTTACTGTAGCGTATTGATGTAACATAATACATTACGTTTTGCTGGAAGAAGATAAAACTCCCTTCACTTCCATTAAAGGCTACTTTAAACCTGTATCAGGTTATTGCTTTAACTATCATCCCTCTATCCCAGGAATCCTGGGAATTATTGTTGGGAGAAGAGGGAAAGACATTAAGAATTCTGTATGGGTTATTTTTGCCAGATAATAGAAATTTACATTCCATGGGGAAAGCTATGGCTATGGCATAAACTTATTTTAAATGCCAAGGTGAATGTATCTGTAGTCACATCATTGGTTCTTTTATGTTTTTTCTTTAGCAGGGAACAACCCTAAGGTCACCAGCCCAAGATCATTCAACCTTCAAAGCCCCTCTCTGACTATAATTGCTAAAAAACAAAAATCAGTGGCACAGATTTTCTTTTATTTTGAGGTGGAAAAGGTTAAAATCTGACAATAAGCCTTAAAATGGGCTCCCCCTTTAAAAAAAATTGGGGAGGGCTTCCAAATTCCTCCAACCTGGCTACTATATAGGTGTGATTTGGGTAATACCATTTCATGGTCTTCAGTCTTCATTACAAAATTTTAAATATTGGCAGCATATCTTGGCCACCAAAATTTGGCTCACTACTATGATAGGAGATAGAGTGAGAAAAGGGGACCTTTAATATTTTCCTTCTTGTAATTCTAATCCAAATAAATAGCATTCTACCCTACAGCTACTATTTTCAGGAAAGCTGATTTTAGTATCCATAATGGTTTCTTCTTAATGAAAATAGCAGACATGAGAAAAATAATCCAAACTGAAATCAAGATGGAACGTAAATAATAAAAGCCTCCCTTTGATACTCCACCTTCAGATAACAGCCTCTGTTTTTGAGTTAGGGGGGGGGGGGTGAAAGCATGCCAGAATTAAGTAATCAATAGTATAGCAATTATAACCCTTTCTTAGCCATACCCCAGAATAGGACCATCAGATCTGGCCTGCAAACATCAGCAAAATTCCTGGATGGCAGAGATGGTAATCTCTTTGTTGCCATCTACTGGTGATCTGAATTTTTGCAGCACCAATAAATAGCCCCAAAATGCATGAAAAAAGAAAAGTGTCATAAATAATTCAAGGTGTGTTATTATTTTATTATTTTATAGAGTAGAAGGCTATTTATTTTATGTATTAGTAAAACAATTAATAATTATTTTATGAGAAGAACATGATCAAGTACAATTTGGACCTCCTCCCTCCCACCCCAATTTGGATGAATGACCCAGTTCATAGGGATATATTTCGATTACATCATCTTAGAGCAGGGGTTCCCAACCCCCCGTGTGTGGACTGGTACTGGGCCATGGCATGCCAGCAACCGGTCTGCACAAACAAGCAAAGCCCATCCGCTGGATGCAGGCAGCACACAAAACCACCTCTGGTCCGCAGAAAAATCTCTCTCCACGTAACCGGTCCCTGGTGCCCAAAAGGGTGGGGACCTCTGTCTTAGAGTGCCCCCCATTGCGAGTAGCATTAGAATGGCACAATATTTTATTGACTGTATCTTAGAAATCATGTTTTTAAAAAATTTCCTGAGGATAACAAACCCTTTTAGTTTAGTTACACCGATGTGTGGCCACAGACAAAAAGCCTTAAGTTATATTCATTATATACCATCAGATTTTCTCTTTTTCTGTGTCTTTCTCCCTTGTCAGTGCATCCTTTGAAAATAATTTGGAATATCCTTGGACCAAATGTAAACACACACTTCCCCCCTTTGCTATTAATGAAAGCAATGTCACTTTTTTAGATTATCACACAACACTGTAAAAAGAGGGCCCAACTTTAAGAGTCCAATCATTGACAATAACTGCTTTCAAGAATAGCAGAGAGATGCTGTGCTCAGTGAGATCCAAAGCATGTAGTGTACATACACATATAAACTTGATATAACATGAAACAATCCAAATGTATATATTATTAGTGAAGTATAATTGATTTCCTAGAAGCTGTAGAAACAATCTGGTTTCTTTGTTAAATAGTTTGGTAGCAAACATCTTCATAGCTCAAATCCCAGGCTTTCGTTTTTAAGGAGGGATGCATGAATAGATTAAACTTTTTCTGTGCAATGAGGGATGATCATAACTAATCAAATGTGAGAGGGTGGGTGTAATGGAGGTGTGTACCATCTCCTCAAGATTCAGTTCACAGTTTTGATAATGTCACCTACCAATTAGACCACATCAGTTACATACAGTGAGTTTATTATCCCAAAGTGCTCTTAGTGTGAAAGCTTGTGTTTATCATATCACTGAAAACTCAGGATACAGAACAATACAGTGCTTTGACTTAATCTGTAAATCTATAGTATTTACATAACTGGAAATAGAAACTTTAGCATATAATTATTTGCTGAAAATTACCTTCAAAGCATCTGTTGCAAAACTTGATATGACACAGTTGAACTCATGGGTTTTCATTTATTTGTTTGTTGTCTTTAAATCATTGTTAATTCATGATAACTGCCTGGATTAGTCCCTTATGTTTTCTTGGCAATATTTTAGAAATGTTTTTCCATTGTCTGCTTCCTAGGACAGAGGAGAGGAGTGACTGGCCTAAGGTCACTCAGTTGTATTTGTGCCCAAGGCAGATCTAGAATTCACAATCTTTCAATTTTTATCCTCAAGAGCCATGGTGACACAGTGGTTAGAATGTAGTATTGCAGGCTAATTCACTGCTCATTGCCAGGAGCTCAATTCTGACTGACTCAAAGTTGACCCAGCCTTCCATCCTTCCGAGGTTGGTAAAATGAGAACCCAGATTATTGGGGGCGATATGCTGACTCTGTAAACCACTTAGAGAGGGCTGTAAAGCACTATGAAGCAATATATACGTCTAAGTGCTATTACTATGCCCTAATGATTATGTCAAACTTGCTCCCATTATTTCTTATAATGGCTCCCAATAAACAATTATCAGTCCAAAAAAGGAGCAATTAGATTGCTGACTCTCACATAGATCACCCCATTACTAAGTGTGCTAAAGTTAAATTGTTGACTGAAATATGTCAAGAAAGTTCATGTGAAATAAAAGTTTCCATCCCAAACTAATTTTATGCTGAAACTCCTTGCCAACATAGTTTGCAGTAAGTAGTATTCAAACCCTGTTAAATTTGCTACTCAGTCTTCATTTAAAGCACCAGATTAGGAGATAGAGCAGATATATTTAAAGCATTCTGGCTGGGGAATTCTGGGAACTGAAAGTCACATACCTTACAGTTGTTGAGACTAACATTGCTCTAGAAGGTATGAATAACACAGAGACACTGGTAATGTTAAATCAAGCAGTGAAAAAATATGTAGAGTTAAAAGATAAAGAGGGAAGCAATTACAGTAGAGAGCATATTAGTATAGGAGACCTTTTATCTCTTTCCTAACATTTTTAATATATTTTAAGCAGCATGGCGTGGTGCTCATCCTAAATATATGGTATGCATGTGTGTGTGTATAAGCTCTGTTTTCCTTTGTTCAGAAAACAAGCAATATGAAAAGGGAATAATCATATTATTAAATGTTAGCCAAAAATTCTCTTATCAATGAAGTGGTATACCATGAGTGGTATCTTTTTCAAAGGAAGCCAGACTTCTGTTGGCTATTAAAAATAATTTAGCTAGAAAAGGGCATGTATTGATAAAATAAAGTTTATAATTTAACTGGCAATTATACAAAAACATACCTCAATGGTCTAAGCTCAAAAAAATGATACAGCAACAGCCAAATAGCTTGCCATTTCTCCTGCTTTTATGTGTTTCAAAGTTGTATGTTTAGGCTTTTAAAACTTACTCCTATTTGAGTATGAGTTTAGTATCACATATTCCATGATAAATCCACAAATGTTATCCTAGCTAGAATCTGATGCATTTGTCATTGAATATAAAACCAGCCATTGTTATTGCTCATACAACATTCACATGTCCGAGGTTCTGTACCTCAAGAATGACAATGATCATGG